TACATTTTTCGTAAAACGAACGAAGCTTAAGAATCAAAATATTGTCCCATCATATGAGACATAACACCCATATGTGCCTCGACTCCTGCAACCAGATTATGCTGGTGAGGGGAATGAGCATGTATCTTCAAAGCCTTCTCAAGCAATGTGAGTGACTGCTTCCGTTGGGAAAAAATCAATTAGGAAGAATGGAATCATATTTTGAGGCGTGAATACACTGGTTTAAAGAATTATTTGCTCTTATGTTGCTAATTGTTACTGGCAAAATCCAGGATACAACAAAGTCTCGAATGAAAATACCATATAGTAATTCTAATATTTCTCCATGAACTCTTAAAAGGGAAAAAATCGGAGTATAAAGGCTGTATTTTTTTGAGAAAGAGACAAAAAATTGAGAGAGGTAGTTATTGAACCAAAACGTTGATAATAAATAGCGAAACCCTTTTGTAAACAAATATACTATTTTAAAAGGACAAAACTATTCAATTTTTTAACTATAAATTAAAAATTAAAAATAACTAAAAAAATAATTGCAAAATAATCGCTACTCACATCTTTTCGATGTGAGACAACGACAAGGTATCTCTTGGTTTGTTTTACAAACAAAGTACCAACAATCCCCCACATTGTTTGTAAAACAAAAATTACAAAATATAATTTTAAAAATATACAACCAAAATTAACATAAGATAAATATACAAACATGAAGGTCTCTTTTGAGTTCGACCTTTATTTAGTGCAAGTATCTCAAAAATTTATAAAAGTTACAAGTAGCTGTAGCATTAAACTTGTTACTTTAATAATAGAATCGTATATACCACACATATACTAACCTCTTGTTTCAACGACAAGTTCTATAATTTACTTAGCACTTTTATGGTGCTTGTTCTTGTTTAATGCGCTCTCAAAAAGGTAACTCTAACTTTTGTAAGAAGTGGCACCATTTCTAAGCTTATATAGGTGAAGTATCTACCACGTGTTTCTGTTATTAATAAACACATTACTAATTTGTATTATACCTCATTAAGAATATAACTCAGCATATAAAACGTAACAGACGATTTTGATTTCTCATGTTTGAGCTAATGTCAATATCAAACAATAACTTTAGTCGCTTATTCTTACCCGTTAAACCCTATATAGCTAGTAATATACTAGTATTATGTTGGGTTACCGTTACTCGTGATTTTAGCCAAAGGGTTTCCGCCCAATTTATTTTGAGGTCATCTTTACCACAACGCTCAGTAGAGCCTTTGTAAAGGGATTAGTCAGATTCTTGCTTGACCTCACATAGACAATTGTTATGATACCATTCTCAATTAATTGTCTCACATACTCTTGTTTTAGATTGATATGTCTAGACTTGCCATTATGAGTGCTACTATAAGCTCTTGCCAAAGTAGCTCGACTATCACAATGGATAAAAATAGGAGGCATAGGAAAAATGCTTTTTCTCAATCAAGTTTCGTAAGATTGATGCACAAGATTTATTACAAAAGAAGTAGTGGACTCTTATTGTGCCTAGGATACTAGCCACTCGTTCAAAATTACATTGACAATCTGTCACATCATTTTGCAACCTAATTTGGCAAAATCTTTTTGTATACCCAATAATACTTATCCTATAATATCGCACATAGCTTTTCTAATACAAAGTGAACTTTACCTTTTGTGCCCCGGCCGCGATCGATATGTTGATCGGTGGGTCCAAATCAGCAAAGGGAGGAGATGTATGTGCCTACAAATTACAAGGTATTTTCATTAAGTTCAACAAGTACTTAAATTATTAGCATAGGTCAATGTGTAATATTAGATTATTTTCCTGATATAGTCGAAAAATTTACCTATTATACTCGGGTTATAAGGTCCACATTCACAATGGCAGGTATCTCGATAGATGGCCCATGGGGATCATGTCCTAGGGCTTATAACATAGTCATGTTTATTTTTTGCCCAACAAATATCGAGTTTCCTTTCTACACCTTTACTTTGAGCTTTAAATACTAGGGTGAGCGGTTCCTAGTTCCGTCCAGGTTTCAATTGGAACGTAAAACCTACCCGTCGAAATAAATTTCTCATTTTTTGGAACTTGAAATTTATTTTACATATCATGGAATTTGGAACTTACCCTGTCACAAATTCCAATATTGGTTCAACGTCTGCCTGGGAATCGGCCAACTTCCTTTTTTTTTTTGTTTCATTTTTAATTAAGCAAAATGAAAGTGAACGCAACAACAAAAATGAAAGTTTCCCATTTGTCGCTAGCGACTATTCTTAAAAGATGAACACGTCAAATAAAATAAACAATAAAAATATTATGAAAGGCCATAGAAACAACAGAGGATTAGAGATGATGCTGAGGCATCTCCAAGACATAAAATCAAATATGTAACTATAGTGATAGTGATCAGAGCCACAATTAATTTACTTGGGCACATTGAATCAGCTACTTCCAGGCCAACAAATAATGAAACGCAAAAAGAAATTGTGACTTCTTTGAAAATCAAAGGGGGAAGAGGAATGCCGGTCGCAACAAGGAAGAGATATAAAGCTAAAAAGGTTCTTTTAAGCTAACTTTGGCCAACATGGCATAGAAATTTGATGGAACAAGAATTCACAATATCCTCCAGTTGCAGAACCCTTGAACACAATCAGATCCTGTCCAACCATTAAAAACACACATTCATGTTACCAGAATTAAACCAATTGATCGGCATAGATGCAACTCGGAGATTCATCCATAAGTCTTGGTATATCAGTCAAGCACACAAACCACCACTTTAGTCTCAGTAAAATTTAGTAACATCCCATGTAACTATCTCAGGTACACATAGATTTAGGGTTTTGTAGGTTCCCAATTCGGTTCTCGGTCCGGTTCTCGATCTAGGAACCAAAGGTTCCTAAAAATGTGGAATCGGGAAGCAAACCAGGTCTGACTAGAACTCAGGTTCCAGTTCTATTATGGAACCATAATCACCCCTAATGGAGATGTGCTTTTATCTCGGACGAGGTATTAAAGTTTTCACCAATATGTGGAGTGGGCCCAGCCGGCAATTTTTGTCTTTTAAAAAAAATAATTCGTATATAAACTGCCCGAAAAGATTCATGAGTTGGCAGTGGCACCAATTACGTAGAGGAAGAAGAACTTTGGAAATGGTTGGTTTTATTTAACATAAAATAAACGATCCATACATTATATTTTTAAAGATGATTGTTTCTATCGTTTGAAAGAATAATTAGCGAAAGTATTTTCATTATCAACAGTGATCTGTACTTGAACATTTTTGCTAGTGACGAAATTACGTTTCGTTCATTCATTTTTATTTATGAGCGAATGCAGACGATGATTTTCAGTAAAATGTTGTTCAAAATGTTGATTTTCTGTGAAATAAATTGGCCTTGTTTTTTTCTTTATGACAAGGGCAATCAAGCCTTTTGACTTGATTAACTGTGACGAATGCGTGCAAATCATTCCATCCTCATATATCCAACTAGGCTCCACCGATGGATTACTCAAGGCGAGCAAAAAAAATTTGATGGATCGATAAAAAGATTGACTAGATTAGGGTGTGCCACAACACATGCTATAATGATTTAATAGATGTGTAATTGATCTCCAAAAAGTTTAGGTTTATCATTTGGGCCATCTTTACTTTATTGTATAAAGGGGTGTTTAATTGACTCGAAATTTACCTTTTCGCCATGATCTAATGGACTCCATTGCTCTTTCGGTGGGTGATTTCAAATTAGAATATTACAATCGTTTATTGGCTCCTGCCAGACATCCGGCCTTTGTTTGGTGTCTCCACTGCTAACTTATTGTTCTTTTTTCATCGGTATCTTTATTGACGGATTCCACTATGACAATCGTCAACCATACACCATCGTATTTTAGCTGATCCATGATCACCGATGTATATTAAAATTAACAATTCTTTTGGTTGTCAACAATGGCTTACATATCACCCACCCATGGGTAGCTCAGTTGGTTAGGGCGTACTTGGGATTGTGTGGTTAGGCGCACTGATCCCAGGTTCGATTCCCCAGCTGAGCACTTGTGATTTAAGTGGGGGGCCATGGCGGTGGGTTGTTGTGCTAGTCTCCCCCGAGGAATAGTCGAAGTGCGCGCAACCTGGCCCGGACACCTCGGTTAAAAAAAAAAAAAACAATGGCTTACATATCTAGCGTCAATAACCATTTGTTTTCCAGCCTCGTGTTTACTTATTTTGACCACGTGGTTACATTATGGTGCAAACAGCCATGATATACATTCCGTCTAATCTGAAAAGATAAAGAAGCATGTAGGTTAAGAGAGAGCACCTTTCCCAATCCTGGAAATGAGTGAATAAGCCCCTGCTTAAGTTATCATTATCAAACAGATCAATGTGCCGAGGCAAATGATCTGCCATCGATATCATTTGATACCTATTCTTCGCTAAATTCGTTGTTCCTTGTTTTTCTTCTTTTTTGCATACTTAGGTCAACGTTTAGGAGTTTCACCAGATGTAATTTGTATTAAAGTGCTAGATTAGAAAAAGCTTACGCAATTTCAAGGTAAAGAACACAGAAGTTTCTCTCTCCCATCCAATTGTCCCTCTTCTCATTAAGACCACAACTTTGCATCGTCGATTATAACTAAGCAAGCATGAGACGAAGCATCACGAAAGATGTTTATTCCAAGTCCAAGCTTGCAATTAGAAGATTTCATGCTTTTTCCTATCACTAAAATCCTATTCATTACCTTTCAGTTTTGTAATTTTCAGGAGTCCTCAAGTTGTGGGATGGAATATTCTAACCTGTTCTATCCAATGCCAAGCGGCATGAAACTAGAGACGATTCCATGAACCCAATCATCTTATTTTATGTGAACTCCTAGCTGCCCTTTGTTCGCCCGTTGCCATCTGCGTTTAGCAGAGTACAAATCTAGGTCTTGGAAAAGCCATAAGACCCATCTACACAAGAACAGCGTGCTATCACTAACTTTTGAGTTAGAAAGAACGATGGCATTAGTAAAAATTTCCAGCATTTTGGGACTGCTGGTTTCAGGATTGGCAATGACCCAAAGAAGCTTGGTGGCTGGCAGTTCATCTAGCTGCAACTTTCCTGCTATCTACAACTTCGGGGATTCAAACTCGGACAACACAGGCCGCTCCGCTGCACTTACACAAATTCCACCTCCCTACGGCAAAACAAACCTGGGCAGTCCTCCCAAGAGATTTTCCAATGGGCATGTCATCCTCGATTTCATAAGTGAGACTTTTAGCAGACTATTAGAATGATTTCAGTCATCGTTTCTTTAGAGCAGAATATGGATCCTATGACCATGCACTGAGGGAAACTTAGTGGTTAATTTCACCGGTCAGGACGAACAGTTTTGATTACTAGAAGTTCACTATCTTGACTAAGAGATGCCTTGATAATGGTTATAAGAGATTGACAATTGTAAAATATTTGAGGCATAATCGGTTTTCTCTGACTTTCTGCAGCTGAAAAACTAGGACTGCCATACGTGAGTGCATACTTGGACTCCATAGGAACAAACTTCAGACGCGGTGCTAACTTCGCCACCGGAGGCTCTTCCATTCTACCTGGTCCTTTCAGCCCTTTTGATCTGGGGATTCAAGTCTCCCAATTCAAACAGTTCAAATCACGCACAACGGAACTCTATAAGAACTTGAGTGATTCTTGTGGGGGGAAGAACAGCATTGGTGCCAAAACTTGTGTACGGAGGCCACTTTGGTGCCAAAAGTTTCAATCGGATCACTTAAGTGCTAAAAGTTGTGAAAAACGATCACTTAAGTGCCACTTCGCCGGAAATCCGACGTGGCATTTTTTTATTAATTTCTCAAGCTGATGTGCTCGCCGGAGGCTGATGTGGCTCGCCGGAGGCTGATGTGGCATTTTTTTTCCTTTTCTTTCTTTTTTCCTTTCTTTTCTTTTTTTTTTCCTTTTCTTTCCTTTTTCATTTATTTTCTTTTCTTTCTTCTTATTTCCAATGGCCGGCGTCCGGCCACCGGCCATGGCCGGCCTCGCCGGGCGTCGCCTTCCTCCGGGCGAGGCCCGGCCTCGCCGGATCTGGCGAGGCGAGCCCTCGCCGGGGCTCGCCTCGCCGGATCCGGCGAGGTCGACCCTCACCGAGGGCCACGGCCGCCTCGCCGGGCGTCGCCTTCGTCCGGGCGAGGCCCGGCGAGGCAGCCGTGGCCTCGGCGAGGGCCGGCCTCGCCGGATCTGGCGAGGCGAGCCCTCGCCGGGGCTCGCCCTGCCCAGGCGACCTCGACCCTCGCCTGGGCAGGGCGAGCCCCGGCGAGGGCTCGGCGAGGGCCGACGCCAGATCCGGCGAGGCCGGCCCTCGCCGAGGCCACGGCTGCCTCGCCGGGCCTCGCCCGGACGAAGGCGACGCCCGGCGAGGCAAGCCATGGTCGGTGGCTGGCCTCCGGCCACCGGCCATGGTAGAAGAAGAAGAAGACCGAAATGAAAAAAGAAAAGAAAGAAAATAAAAAAGAAAAAAGAAAAGAAAGAAAAAAATCAGAAAAAAATATTTAAAAAATTGGATTATACACATGGAAAAGCCATGTGTCATTAAAATTTAAATATAAAAGCCACGTATTAAATTTGGTAGGAATTTCTCGCCGTTGGCACTTAAGTGATCGTTTTTTCTCCGATTTAACACTTAAGTGATTGCCGGCGTAAACTTTTGGCACTTAAGTGATCCAAATGAAACTTTTGGCACCAAAGTGGACTCCGTACACAAGTTTTGGCACCAATGCTGTTCTTCCCCCGATTCTTGTGAGCCATTATATCCTTCTTCAACTTTCTGCAGTTCATTAGCCAGAATTATGGCATATCAAGCCAGTAATCCGCAAATGCCACTTAATCCAATTTAGAGTCCCCATAATCGCATTTGCTTTAGTTTCTTTGCGCACAAAGCTGAATAATTTTGTAAAGACTGACGATATATCAAAAAATGGCATTAAATTCAGGGACTATCGAACTGCAGCAGCATGTCCCTTCCGCATCCTGATGATTTCTCAAAGGCCCTCTACACATTTGATATAGGACAGAACGATCTTACATTTGGCTTTCAGAACATGACAGTAGATCAAATAGTCGCTGCAATTCCTGGCATCCTCAACGGATTCGATGCAGCAATACAAGTAAGTTATGGGCAGTCATAGAATATCAGAGATCCATTAAGAGCCTAACATAAGTGCACAAACCTTGCTAATTCTTATACTGCTTCCTAAAGGTATTTCCGTTGTTTATTTTCAGCAACTCTATGGCGAAGGAGCAAGAGCTTTCTGGATACATAACACCGGTCCAATTGGATGTTTGCCTTTCATGGCTCTGCCATTTAAATTTAGAAATGGCACCCTTGACCAGAATGGCTGCTACGCTTATCAAAACAATGTAGTTCAAGAATTCAATCAGCAGCTTAAAGAAAGGGTGGACCAGCTAAGAAACAATCTCTCCATAGCTGCGTTCACATACATCGACGTATATTCAGCCAAGCTATTGCTGATAAGTGATGCTAAAAATCAAGGTAATCTTCTGCATATCAGTGGGTACTAATTCTCTCAGGCTACATCTAATGAGCAGATCCATGAGGTAAATGTGGAGAAAAACTAGGCAATCCGCAAAAACAGGAGGTCATTTTTGCCTAATGGTTCGTAGGCTAATAGTACTGAGGTGTTTAAATTATGTTCTGACCGTTGATGAAATCTGGTGGCAGGTTTTGTTGATCCACTGAACTACTGCTGTGGTACCTTCGTGCCAACATTCGTGATGTGTGGACTGCCAGCACAAGTAAATGGAACCACCATTCATGGAGATGCTTGTGGCGACCCTCAGGATCGAATTAGCTGGGATGGCATACATTTCACGGATGCAGCCAATTCGTGGATTGCTTCACGCATCCTCACTGGTTCCATGTCCGACCCACCTGCACCAATCTCCAGTGCTTGTCCATAATATACAGCATCAAGATTGAAGACGTCATTTCCAAAAGAAGCAAAGAAAAGAGCGCGAACATCTTGCTTTTCCTTTTCTACTTTCTGGTCATTAGTTACTAGATAAAACATCGCTCCTTTTGGAGCACATGTCATGTAATATTCACATGGAAAATAATACGAGGGTTGCTTTAAAAATGATGTATAAAACCAAACCTTATACATGCCCAATATCCCACACCAAGCTAGCTATCCAGAAGGGTGTCGCTTTCTAATTATTATATTTATTATGCTTTAAAAATTATCCAACAGAAATAGATAGCCTATGTACTTCCTCTCTCAACTTTTCTTCATGCCTATGAAAATATGAACATGGTCAAAATCACAGTATCTTGATGCCACCATCTTCTAATATGCGAGAGTGAGTATTAAGTAAAGTTCCCGTGGGCCTGGACTTGCTGCTTCAATCCGTTCCAGCTTCTTTCAACAACTCGGCCAACCTTCGCTTCTCGGCATCCACATCCGCTGTCCCAAGTTTCTCCTGTCTAATGGAAACAACATTCTCCAAAATTTCAATCGCGTCGTCCAACCTGTGAAAATTGCTACTGAGGTTAATAAGAAGTGGGGAACTACTCATAAAGAAAGACTTAGTCATGCAACAATGAATTACATGGTCTTGGGGACCTGATTCTTCTGCCGGCTAGATTCCAAACATAAAAAAACTAGCAGCGGCACGAATGAAAAGCCAAATGAATGAATTAAAGAACATTCTAACTTGAGCTATCGTTTTCAAGGGACTAGGAGATGATGATAAAACCATGAGGTTTGGCTCAGAAAGGATGGATGTTGTGGAGACTAGATCGCAGAAATACAAATTAGATGGCAAGAATCACGAACGAAGCTAAAAGCAAACAGTCATACCTGCTCATTGCATCATACGTGCCAACCGCAATGCTGCAGACACCTAACGTGTCAAAGTAATATGGTCGATATTCCGTTTCCAAAATACTTGATACTTCTTCAAAGAGTTCTGCAGCCTCATATATTGCATAACATTGCATGCAAGCTAGACCCATTTGGTTTAGTGCGATTCCAAACAAGGGAGACTTTTTCTCCGCACTGATCCCGAATTTCGGAACAGCAGAACTTACGGAGGTTTAAGAATCGGAATATTTTCCCATGATATAATACATAACCCCCATTTGTGCCTCGACTCCTACAACCATATTATGCTGGCCAGGGGCATCAGCATGTATCTTGAAAGCCTTCTTAAGCAAAGTGAGTCATAGCTCCTGTTGGGAAAAAATCAATCAGGAAGAATGGAATAAGACTTTGAGGCGCGAATACACTATATTAAGGAATTATTTGCCCCACAACATTGCTAACGATTATTGGCAAAAATCCTTCAGGATATAATAAAGTCTCGAATGAGAATACCAAATAACAATTATAGTAATTCTCCAAGAACTCTTGAAAGGAAACAATAGGAGAAAAAAGGCCATATCCTTTTTAGAAAGAGATGAAAAATTGAAAAAGGTATTTATTGAACTAGAAACGTGGATAATAAATAGCAAAACCCTTTTGTGAACAAACATACTGCTTTAAAAGGATACAACTATTCTTTTTTTAAACTAAAAATTAAAAATTAAAAATAACTAAAAAAATAACAGCAAAATAACTACCACTCCCATCTTTTCATGTGGGACAAGGACAAGGCACCTCTTGGTTTGTTTCGCAAATAAACTACCAACAATACCCTTTGTTTGTAAAACAAAAATTACAAAATAAAATTTGAAAAATATAAAACCAAAATTTTCATTTGATTAATATGGGATAAGAACACTAGGAGTGCCATAACTTTCGTACAGCGCTCATTTGAGTGCCATAACTTTTTTTTCGCTCACTTGAGTGCCACAAATTTAAAAAAGCGATCATTTAAATGCCATCGGTGATTTGCCTAGTCGGAAAATCCGACATGGACATCGGTTGTTCTACGTGGCATCGCCAACGCTGACGTAGATAATTAATTAAAAAAATTCAAAAATAAAAAAATCCACGTTTGAATGGAAAATTAATAAAAAAATCCACATAGGACAATTTGCCGGGAATGGCACTTAAATGATCGATTTTACTCCGATGTGGCACTCAAGTGAGCGCTGTAAGAAAGTTATGGCACTCCTGCTATCCTTATCCAAAACATTTTTATTTATAAGTGAAAACGTTGGAGAGAGCCAATTAATGCAATTCCTTTTGAACTTTATTATAAGGGTCCCCCGTAGACAAATGTCTTGCATTAATTAATTCTTTATAAAAGTAGGTACCATATTTATAAAACTAGGTACTTCTCATGACTGAGGCCCATTCATAGAAAATCCAAAATATTTTAAATTTAATTTTCAACAAAGATCAAAATTAAAATATCATCAAAACAATTATTATGTACTAATACATAAGTAGTATTAATTATAAATTATATCATTCGACTCTTCTTTTTCTCAACCACCGTACGACCCTTGATTCGAGAAACCCATCATACTCTCTCATTATTTTACTCGCATCAAGTCAAATATAATTAAGTAGGTTAGGTTTAACATTTAAATGAGTAATTATGTGAAAAAGGATAAACGCATAAAGGTCTTTCTCCATCCATTTTTTGACTTTCGACGCTCCTATTACCTTAAACTAACCATAATATCTCTTGCAAGTCAAGATTTAAGATTATTTCTTACCTTTCTTTTCTTTTCTTTCTTTGGAAATTTTGATGCATTTAGAATTGACAAAAAATATGTATCTGCCAATGGTTTGATTGGATTGTCTTATAATGCAATTACAATTATCATAATTTTCTTATCAATAACTAATTATTTCACTTAATGAGCCATACTTTTCAATTTTATCAATGTAGTCCTAAACTTTTGAGCGATTTTTCAATGTAGTCTTTTCCGCCAATTGCCACAAAAAATTGCTGACGTGGCGTTTAGTCATGGCTGGCCATGTTAAGTAGAGAGTTAGGATGGCAATTGTTGATTTCCGTGTCGCAATTTGCGACGGCAATTGGCAAGAAAGGCTATGTTAAATATCGTGCAAATGTGTAGGATTATATTGACAAAATTGGAAAGTTAAAACTGAATTGACATCCATACAATAGGTTTAGGACGAAATTAATAATTTTCCCAAATATTTAAATAATCAATCCTTCAATGGACACATGTATAAGCATTTTTGGGATAAGTACACTAGGAGTGCCACAACTTTCGTACGGCGCTCACTTGAGTGCTACAAATTTGAAAAATTGATCACTTAAGTGCCATCAGCGATTTGCCCTGTCGGAAAATCAGACTTGGCATCGCCGGCGTTAACGTAGACAATTAATTAAAAAAAATTTAAAATAAAAAAATCCACATTGAAATGGGAAATTAATAAAAAAAAATCCACGTAGGAGGGTTTGCCGGAAATGGCACTCAAATGATCGATTTTACTCTGATGTGGCACTTAAGTGAGCGAAAAAAAAGTTTTGGCACTCAAGTGAGCACCATATGAAAGTTACGGCATTTCTACTGTTCTTATCCCGATTAATATACATACATGAAGGTCTCTTTCGAGTTAAACTTTTATTTAGTGCAAGTATCTCAAAACTCTATATAAGTTATAAGTAGTTGTAGCAGTAAACTTGTTACTTTTATAATAAAACTGGATAAACCGCACATATACTAACCTTTTATTTCAACGAGAAGTTCTATAATTTACTTAGCACTATTATAGCTAGGGGTGAGCGGTTATAGGTTCTTTATAGGTTCTACTTGGAACTTGGAATCTATCCGCTGGAATAGGTTCTTAATTTTTTGGAACCTAGAACCTACCCTATCATAGGTTCTAGGATTGGTTCTAAGGTCTACCCAGGTTCTACCTATATTATTAATTGAGCAATTGCAGTGAATCATCACCTTTTATGATTACCAATTGTTTCTATAATCCACTGACAATAACTTATATTTAGACACGAAAATATGAAATATTAACAAAGTAAAAGTCTTGGTCATAAAATAGAAGCTTAGACTAGTAATTGTAAATTATACACTCATCATCGGATGCCATGGAATACTGTAGTATCACGCGAAGACATAGACCAAGAAAAACACAGGCTCCAAGTTCCACCTACCTAGAACCTAGAACCTACCCGTTGAAATAGGTTCCCCAATTTTTTGGAACTTGGAACTTACCCTGCATACCTTGGAACCTGGAACCTCCAGGTTCCCACCGGGCATTAGGTTGGTAATTCTTATTCATGTTTTATGAGCTCTTTAGAAAATAACCCTAACTTTCATAAAATGCGACACCATTATTAAGGTCATATAGGTGAAGTATCTACTATGTGTTTCCGTTATTAATAAACACATTACTAATTTGTATTATACTTTATTAAAAATATAACTGAGCCTACAAAACGTAATAGACGATACCGACTTCGCATGTCCGGGCTAATGTCAGTATCAAACAATCACTTTTAGTAACTTATTCTTACCCATTACACCTTATAACTAGTAATATACTAGTATTAGGTTGGGCTACCAATACTCGTAATTTTACTTAAAGGGTTTCAGCCCCAATTCTTTTGAGGTCATCTTTACGACATCTCTTGGTAGAGCCTTTGTAAAGGGATAAGCCAGATTGTTGAATCAATTGTCTCACATAATTGGACTGATATGTCTAGACTTGCCATTATTAGTGCTACTATAAGCTCTTCCCAAAATAGCCTGACTATCACAATGGTAGGTAATGAAATATTCAATTTGAATCAGATAAGATTAATTACCGAAATTGTAGATAACACTTCCAAATTGAACTCGACGGACTGCTCGGGACAACGGTGACCGGCAATGCTTCACGATGTGGATGGTGAGGCTCGACTGATGCTCTCAACTGGACTCACGGCAAGGACAGCTGAGGTGTGGACTTCTCGGTCTCGCGGTATGGACGTCTGGCAGTGGCTGGCTGGCGGAAAGGCTCCGCTAGCAAGGACAAGAGGGACGGCTCGGCGTCAAACTCGCGGTGGTGGCTCTACCAAGAGGGCTGCTCGGGGTTGTGGTTGGCATGGTGGAAGCTCACAACTAGGGGACAATGTCCGGGAAGCTACAAGTAGTGATATTCGTCGGAAAACCTGCAACGACAGAGAGCGAACTCACTCGGCTCGATATGGGACTTGTACAGGCTCACGGCGGTGGTGCCTCAGCCAAGGTACTCTCTATTTACTGCTGGTTCGTGATGGTGCTAGCGCTGGAACCACGCCAGGGTAGTTGGACAGAATCGGGTTGTCATCGGAACAGTAGGGACGGATCGTGGATGCGCTGCTGGCTCCTCGGTGCAGGTGCGGCAAGCAGCAAAAGGCATTGGGAATGCTTGGGGGGTCAACAAGGGATCGAGCACCTTCACGTCACGATCGGCAAGGGCATAACTGCTTCGTTGGATCACGACCAAACCAAGGAAACAACAACACGGTTGTTGCAGGGGGACTTCTTGTCGCGGGACAATAGGTCGGTAAGGGCAGTAGCTTCGTCGTCTCGCTATTGGGATCATAGGGGCTCACGAATGAAGCAGCAGTAGCGACGAAGGGCATGCGGTTGACCAAGAAGCAACGACGTCTTTGGAGCACGCCAGCGACGGGATGTCTCAGCCAAGAGAGGGGGATTTGGCCGAGAGGTCTCTCTCCCTCTTGCTCTCTCAAGTGTATTTCTCTATCATGCTCTAAAATGCTCAATTACTGACCTTTGACTTTTGAGGTATATATTTGTAATTATAGAGTTAACCTAAGTTTTTACGGGCTTAATTTATGCCTAATAAGATAACAGGTTGAATAAACTTGAGAGTTTTCATTAATTAATTCTCATGGGCTGAAATCTGATTAATTTAAGCTCAATGAGGCCCTCTCCCTCCTTATGAAATTCGGCCAGCCCTTGTCCTCTGGTGAGGCCGAATTTTGCCCCTTTGTGAGCTCAATTACTGACAGGCTTTAATCTATTAAGGGCTTATGCTAATTAAGCACAAAGCCTTTTACCCTCATGGGCTCAATCCAACTTAATTAAAGCTCAATAACCTTGATTTTGGACTTGAAATTTCGGCCAATTCCTCCTTGTGCTGGCCGAATCTTGCTTGTAGCACGAGCCAGTCCTTGTGACAGATTCAAGTTCATTCACCACTGCTGGTCCAGTTAAAATACAAACGCAACTAATGAACTAAATGATGAATGCTTTTAAAACCATATGCTATTAAATTATATTATTTTTTCTTGGGGGTCAAAGATTAGTCCCTAATTTTCTATTCAATTGAACTCTAAATAATCAGCCAAAATTTAGGAGTTAACACTTAACCATAATGGCGATTGCTTCCGATATCCTCGTGGACCAACAATGGGGCTCCTACTGATTTAACTATACTTACTAACCGACTAACCTACTGGTGCGTCATTTTTTGGTGTTAACACTGTCTTACATTAGGATATCGAGTACGGTGATGTAAAATACCATGATTACTCTTGTTTCAGCCATATTGACATTTTTCTCCATGTTCAAAGTACAATTGTTTGAATAGGATGTTATCTTTGCTTTTGTGAACTATGGAAGTTTGGCATAAGGACACTAAAAGTGTCAAAAGTTGAGTACAATGCTCACTTAAATGCCAAAATTTTCGTATGGATCACCCAAGTGCCACTTTAAAAATAACGACCACTTAAGTGCCAATTCTGATTTGGGTCGTCGGAAATCTGACGTGACAATTTTTTATCAATTTTTCCGACCCATGTGGCTCGCCGGCATGCCCAGTCAGAATCAATAGTCCCAAATGACATAGATTACATGTTTGTCCCAAATAAAAAACCCTAATTTGGCGGCCACGACTTTAGCTTGTTTGCCATTTTTTTCCTAAAGTGACAAATTAGGGCTAAATTAGGACATAGAAGCAAACTAAGCACCGAAATCATGTTCTTCTTCACGCTACAACCCAAGATTAGAGGATAGTTATTGATGCCCTCGATCGAGAGCCCCAATTTGTAAAGAAAATCAATTCGCTCCTTCATGGCCTCGACTGTTACCGGAAGCTCCAGCTCGTTGAACTCGTCGGGGAAAATCCCAATCCCACAAAGGAACTCATAAACCCTAGCACGATTCTCCATCCTCTCACTTTCCATCTCCGCCAACCTAGGACAATTATATAGGAACGAGGAGGAGTCCCTATCCACCCGGCCCAATCAAACCCTGTTCGGCCTTATTGTGGTCGCATTGTCCGACCTAGAGGACGAATTTCGCTTCGAGATGGAGATCTGGAATCGCGAGATTGGCAAGATTCGACGGTCGTAGCATCTCTACAAGGGGAGGTTTGATTGCCATGAGGGCTTGAATGAGAGAGAAAGAGTGAGCAAGAGAGAACGACAAAGAAAGAGAGAATTTTTCTAGTGTGGCGTCGTTTTGTGATTAAAGGCCACCTCATAATCCACGTCGATGTTCTTCTTCTTTTTTTATGAAAAAGCTACTTAGGCATTAACAAGCCACATAATATTTTTGACCGGCATTTGTGGTTGGATGCACTTAAGTGATCGTTTTTTCTTCGATTTGGCACTTAAGTGAGCCAAGCAAAAACTTTTAGCACTAAAATGAACACCGACGAAATTTTTGGTAGTTCTAGTATCCTTATGCCATGTAAGTTTTATGGTTTAGAGCACCAACGAAACTTTTGATACTTTTAGTACTTCTAGTGTCCTTATTCAGGAAATAAAAATACATGTGAGGTTGAGTCCAAGATGACTAATAATGTCCACATACTGCTCCGTCTATGAAGTGCATTTTTTTTTTCTGTTACGAGATCCTTGGTATAATTCCCCTATAACTTGATTTTTCTCATTTCTTGAGTGGTAACTCTTGGATGGACCATTGAATGTCGAAGCGATCCTCGGAGGTCAAACTAACTAAGCAGCAACGGTCATCGTGGAGTTTAAGTCAAATGCATATATATATATATATATATATATATATATATATATATGTGTGTGTGTGTGTGTGTGTGTGTGTGTGTGTGTGTGTAGGATGATCATGCGCATGCTTGTTCTGGCATCATGATTTGATGGCTCGATAGCTTCGGATGTTGAGAACTCTGAGTTTGCAGGTAACTTTCTTTCTGCCTTAGATATTTGGCCAAGAATTTTTCGTCGGAGAATTTTTTTCATCTTTTAACGAGAATTATTATTATTTTTTTATCAAGGACTACCTCTTAGGAAGCTTTTCTCATTTTTCGCTTCATTTTAAGAAGTTATTTTGTTTTTGGGGATAATTTTCCAAAATGTCTTGAATCTAAGCCATTCTAGTCCTAATCTTTTCAATTCAAATAATTTAGTCCTAAACTTTGACGATTTTCCAATGTAATCATTCCGGCCAATTTTGTCAAAAATCGCTAATGTGGACGCCAATCATCTTATATGACACGGCTAGTGTTGACGTGGATGAGTTTTTCAAATTTTTTAAGTTTTATGAATTTTATTTTCCTTTCTTTATCTTTCCTTTTAATTTTTTTTTATTTTCTTTCCTATTTCTCTCCGCCTGTTTCTGGGGCCTCAATGATGGTTGGCCGCAAGTGAGGGCCAGGACACCCTTCCTGTCCATCGGCGAAGCCTCGGGGACCGCGGGAGGGAAATAAGGAAAAGAGAAAAAAGAAAAGGAAAGAAAAGTAAGAGAAAAAACAAAAAAATTCAGAAAATTTTAAATAATTGCAAAAATCGTCCACATTAGTGCCGACTGTACCACTAGGACGGTTGGTGTTCATTGGACCGTCACGTCAGCAACTTCTATCGAAAATTAGCCGGAAGAACTACATTGGCAAATCGTAAAAAATTTAGGACTAAATTGGCCATTAAAAGGTTTAGCAATGAATTGGCCATTGCACAATAGATTATGATTTTTTAGACAATTTTTCCTTTTTTTTTGTATGGACATTTGATATCTTGTTTGGAGTGGCTCTATGTATGGCGTCATCAATGTGATTGAGATTCGTCCGAGTTTGTATGAAGATTCCTAGCACAAAAATATTTTACATGTGCTGTCACTTCAGACTCAAGTAATCACTATTCGAGCAAACTAAACACTTAGAAACCGATTGGCACATTGAAAAATGCTAAAGATCAGTAGTGTACACATGTTAGCAGAAAGGAAAGGAACAAAAGCATCTGAATTGCATCACAAACAAATTTTGTCAGTCTTTGCTGTGTAATGAAACTTTCAGGAGTCATGGGTAGACCTGGCTAATGTAAATTTGCCGTAGACACACCACACAATGTGATAGGTGATCTAAGAGCTCAAAAAACAAAAGAATCTGATCCAGGCAGACCAATCGTAATCCTATCCTAGCATTGACTCTAGATTCTATGTTGGTAGTCCTTGTAACATTTGCAATCTATCATTCTGTCTTCATTTCCACCGAAGCAGCTCAAATCATGAATTTGCTGTTCTTTTGAAGGAAATTAATGCATTTCTTGTTCCTACTAATCCAACTAAATTAGAGAATGATAATTCTTTCAATCGACTCGAGGAACCAAAAACCAATATAACCAGCCCCAACTTCGGTATATTGTTACGGGACTAAAATGGATCATTGCCTAAGCAAACCTATCTTTGAGTCCTTACCTCAGTTTTTACCACAAAGCAATGTGATCTTTTTTCTTGTAAGGGCCCTTGAACCGATGAACATAACAACGTAATAGCATTAACTACGTGATGACATAGCAAGATGGCGACACTTCAAGCAGGGTCAGCCTCTTCATTTTTCATCAAAACCAACAAAAAGGTAACGTCCAGACTAGTCCTCCGTCTTGCTTATACCAGCGTTGCACTTTGTTGAAAACATCTACCACACAGCAAGACTTAGAAACTATTTATCAGCAAAACAGGACAAAACCACTGGATTACATAGAGAATTCTCCTACTTCAGTGGCTACTATGCTTTCTTCATTCCAATCATCTTGGCTTCAGCATTGCTTGCATTGGGTGAAGCTTATGAGTCGTCAGTCCCACTGTATCGACATTTTCTTCCTCACCATCCTTCAGTCGCCATTCAAACTCCTGGACTAGTCTGCCGATGGCTGCGCAAGATATTAGCATGGCCTGAAGAGCTCCAGCACAAACCCTTCTCCCTCCTCCAAAGGCCGATGTCTTGAACAAGTCTGCTGGGTCATACTTCTCATCGAGAAATCTCTCGGGCATCCACTCTTCTGGTTTCTCATATATCTTCTTGTCCATGTTACATCCATATATGTTTATAGTAAGCTAGAACAACACAATTCGAGCTTCAAATTCCTTATCCAACATGCAAGACACGGAATAGGCATAAAAAACCCTATGTAATTATTTACCTGGCTTCCAGCCGGGACAAAGTACCCTCCTAATTGGGTATCTTCATGTACATAGCGCGGAGGAATTATTGGAACTGGACTATGTTTCCTCAGAGTTTCATGGAATACAGCATTCAAGTACAGAAGCTGAGACAAGTGGTCCTCTGAGACGGTTTCAGAACCACAAACTTTTTGAATCTCCTGGACGAGTCGATCCTGTCAAGGAAGTCACAATTACTTAAAGCTTACGTGAGAAAATCAGATACAATCGAAAAAATGGATAAGTTGAATAATTAGCTAAACCTGGCATTTTGGATTCTTAGCAAGTTCATACAAAGCCCACTCTGTTGTGACCAGAGTGGTATCAGAAGTCTCGATGATTGGCTCCCAGAGCAAAATGGTGATCTGCTCCTCAGAAAGCGTCTTGGATTCAGATATCAGGAAGTCAATATAACTGTTCGCTTCCTGCTCAGAAGTTGACCCAACTTACTACAAAAGCTACAACTAATTCAAAAAAATAAGTTGAAGCAGAAATTCGTTTATGTTTTAAAGAACTGTTCAGCATTTAGTACTGGTAAATACTTTTGAAGCCATCCAGAAAAACTCATACTTCCACATTAAGCAAAACAGAAAAGTGTCGTTCTTTGTTCCTCAAAGTTTTCAAAATAAAGTTCTCAAGGAAATTTCAAAACAAGCACTACCTCCCCTGAAGCGATTCTCCGTTTCTGCTCCTTCATTAGGGCTTTCGCCACCACTTTCCTGCGGAAAGCCAGTTGTTCAATCTTCTTTTCCCAGCTTTTACTAGGAATCCATCTCAGGTAAGGAAAGAAATCCCTCCAGTCCACCTCAATTGCACCAGCCATCATGTCCGACACCATAACCTTGAACATTTCCTCTTTGGACAACGTTGTCCCAAGTTCCTCCACATATATGGATTTCACCTCCTGTCCCAAAGCCTGAAACGCAATTACCAATTGACCCTGATCTTTTGCTTTTCTTTTCTTGTTTTTGTTTAGAAAGGATAGAAAAGAAGAGGTAGCTTACTTGTTTGAGTGCCAGCGCAAATAGTTCATTCTGGAAGACTTTCCTGAAATTGACCGCTTCAAGAGGATGGCCATCTACAAGGGCATGTAATTGTCTAGAAATGTTTTCCATCATGGTGTCTCGGAGGGAACGTAGCCGCTTCTGCGTGTAGATGCACATGAACAAGCACCAAGTCAAAGTGACAAGAATCTAGTGGTAAGATCTCTCTCTCTCTCTCTCAACATTTTCAAGAATACAGTTCAACTGTTTCGAGTAGATATCTATTCCTGTATTGATTTGTGCAAAGACATCTTCACTGTTCTTTATCAGCAAATGGTTGCTCTTCATCTACACTGTTTACAAATGTTCGCATAAACTTGCTTGTTTTGTTATTCCTACTGAAAATAAACCCATTAATAATTCTGGATGATTTCAAAATATTCCCTGATTATGGCACATAAATCAAGATTCTAGAAGCTTATCGTGCATGCATATGAACACATGTCCAAAAGAGAGACATCTATCAGCTTACCTGAGCATTCACGCCCAAGACACCTGCAAGGATGTATCGCTTCACCATCTTGTGGAATTCATCATAGTCACTCATAGCAACCATACATTTATCGGCTGTGAGGATCCGCAGGGCATTTGACAGCTTTCTCGTAGAGATTGATGAGAATCTAGTAACCAGAGCCTGAAAAAAGAAAGGAGGATGCCTGAGCATTCAACAAAATATTTCAGAACATCTTAGTAGCACAAGATCATTAAAAGCTAGGTGCTGAGTGCAAATTATTCTGAATTGTGTACTTCTATGAAACTTCTTCCAAAAATTCTTTATCCCACCCCCAAGCGAAGATTTTGCAATCTCTTTGTTTACCTTTCTCCTAGTCTAAAATCTTGTGTCTTCCACTAGGTGGAAAAGTTTTCATTTCATGGAGATCACTTACAAACCAGTCTGCCAAACCCCAAACTGTCAAGAAATGGAATAAAGAGTTTCCAAACATTTCACTGGAAAGGAAGAGACTTCTCCTATACACATTAGATTAAATAGATTTATAAATAGATAGACTCTCTTTCTAAACTTCAGTTTTTTCCTTTCTCGTTTTCTCAAAACTTTTCCATATTCATTAGCTAATTTGATGTTTATTGACTGGAAAAATTTAGGCATCCCTGCCATGCAACTCACATGGAAAAACAAGTGGTTGACGGAGAGTTAAATTAAAGCATAACTAATTTCTCTGATCACTTTCAACTTATTCGCCCTTTGACAACACTGCGCCACATTATAAAAAACGAAAGTAGTTTAATGTAGTTTATAAATGCAGAGACTTGTGATGACTCCACCAAGCGAGAACTGATAACAAGTACACTCCTAAGTTTTCGTCATAGCCAGAAAGAATGACAGCCTATTTCAACAAATGACAAGAGTCATCTGTATACAGCATGGTGACAGCTGTTACCATACCATTAGCTGCTGCGTAAGCCCAGCTTTGGGAGCGAGATAAGGAAAATTTTCAACACCTTACTCAAGGGGCAAGATATAAAACTATTTTATGCAATTTCATATATTATAGCCTATATCTTATGAAATCGCACGAAACACCAAGCGGGCAGAGTGACCCGGCTCTCGCCAGCTGCCTCTTGGTCATTCACTGGCCATTAGTATTACCTCTTTGGCAACATCAGCGGAATTGAGTACCACCAAAGTAGTAGCACCGGTTCTGATGGAATAAACAGGGCCATAAGTTTCAGCCCACTTTGTAAAGGTCTTGTGAGGTTTCTTCTCCTTCAGTTGAAGCAAATTCCCCACTATGGGCAACCCAGGAACCTCTGCATCAAATTCAAGTACCCCAGAAAGAAAAAACAAACACAAAATCATCATTACAAGACACAAAAAGCGCTCACTGTTTCCAGTTCTTTTTCTCAGCAGAAACAAAGATTACCCGGTAAAGGTGGAAGAGTGGACTGGCCATTAATCTTCTGGGTGGAGCCGAGTTTCCTCAAGAAGAAAGAGAAGAGCAACAACAGTGAAAGCCCACCAAGAATGGCCGTAGTGGCAAAAGGCAACGGCAGTTCTTGCATATCTAGGAGCGTGGAAATAGCCGTTCAGATGAAACTTGGAAGTTAAGAGCCAGTGATTCTTGAACCGAATGAAACGAAAAGAGATGACTAATAAAACAGACAGCTTTGGGCTAATTTATATAACAGGAACTGTCGCCTAGGACAGATCGGTCGCAGCAATTAAAAAACACAGAAGCCGAGTAGACTGAGTAAAAAGATTGGTTTATCGATTTGTGCAATTTATTAATTGAAGCGTGCAAGACGTTTGCAATAAAACGAGGAAGCGAACGGCGAGCACTGAGCAAAAAGTGAGGGAGGATTCTGAGTGATCGGGCTTTAGTCGTTTTCTTCAGTTGTTATGTACTCGGAAATCTCATAAAGTTTGTGCCTTTTTTGTCTTCTTACGAAATAGAGAAAGATGTCTGGTGGGAGGATTCTGAGGAGACACTGCAGGTGTCGTGTCAGACATAAAAGAGACCGGGAGAGGTGATTTGCTTTCGGGGGCATATCATAATCACAAAAGTAGGTTGGTATAACATTATTGGGGATACATAAATAAACGAAGACGTATTTTAATAGGCTGAAAAATTGTATACTTAAATTTCGTGATAAATTAAACAAAAGTTACCAAAAATCATAAACTATGCTCACTGTGACGTATTACATTATATCTGTGTGACACATTTACCCTTCGTCAAAGTTTTATCCATAAGAACAGTTAAAAATTTACTTACATTGACGCCAGAAAACAAACACCGTTGACATGACGCCCACATAATTTAAGTAAAATAAAAATGACGTTGTTTTGCCTGAAAAATCATGTAACGAAACTTTGATTGAGGGTAAATTGTTCCGTAGGTCAAGTTTGAAGTTTTTTATGTCACAAGAAAAAATTTATGATAAATATGTCACAATGGACATAGTTTGAAGATTTTCTATGACTTTTTCACTGATAAATTTGGCCCTGTTTTTTAATTAAAAAGCTGCACACTCTTGCTTAGAGTGAATTTGCTAGGAGAACACCTTATAGGATATAAGATCTTCATCTTATTATCGTTAAGTTCTCCATCAAAATGAGCTTATGCATCAGCAGATGTAGCATAAATTATGACATGCACAGAAACACATTAATCGCAATGGCCTTGTTCACCTAATCTGTCAAAGTAAAGCTGTTTCTCTTTCGGCGCCCAGAAGGTCGTCGTCCGATCCTAGCTGGTGTTTCTGTCGCGACTTTCCTAAAGATGAACCACCAAGGCAAAGTTAATGGGTTACTAAGCCAAAGAGTTACTCTCCCAAACCCATACCAATAATAACTTTGGGGTTTTGATTTAATTTAACGTGCAATTTTATTTATTTATAAGTCGCCACTAATCTATTACGAGTCAATTAGAAACTAAGTAAAGTATGGATAATACACTTTACTTCTGCAAACCAAAGGGCAAAAGCATACCACAAGTGCCATAACTTGTATACGGCGATCACTTTGGTGCCATAACTTTTTTTCGGATCACTTTGGTGCCAAGTCGGAGGAAAAGAGATCACTTTAGTGCCAATTTGGCAGGAAATCCAACGTGGCATTTTTTATTAATTTTTGACGCCGACGTGGCTCGTCGGAGGCTGAGTCAGCGTGTACAGTCAGCATTTTTTATTTTAAATAATTTTTTTCAGCGTGTACAGTCAGCATTTTTAATTTTAAATATTTTTTTCCTTTTTTTTTCTTCTTTCCTTTTTCTTTTCTTTTCTTTTTTTTCTTTTCTACCCTCGCCGGCCGGTCGCCGGTGACCGGTCGGCCACCGGCGAAGCCCGGGAAGGGCTGGGCGAGGGCGGCCTTGCCCATGGCCGGCGACAGCGAGGGCTGCCCTCGCCGACGCCGGCGAGGGTTGCCTCGCCAGATCCGGCGAAGGCGACCTTCGCCCGCCCGGTGAGGCTTCCTCGCCCGACGCCGGCGAGGGCGGCCCTTGCACGGGCGGGCGAGGTCGCCCTCGCTGAGTCGGGCGTGGGCGACCCTCGCCCAACGCCGGCGAGGGTCGCCCTCGCTGAGTCGGGCGTGGGCGACCCTCGCCCAACGCCCGGCGAGGGTCGCCCTCGCCGGATCCGACGAGGGCAACCTCGCCGCGTCGGCGAGGGAAGCCCTCGCTGAGTCGGGCGTGGGCGACCCTCGCCCGACGCCGGCGAGGTCGCCCTCGCCGCGTCGGGCAAGGGAAGCCCTCGCACGGGCGGGCGAGGGTCGCCCTCGCTGAGTCGGGCATAGGTGACCCTCACCGGTGTCGGGCGACCTTCGCCGGCGTCGGGCGACCCTCGCCGACGTCGGGTGAGGGCAGCCCTCGCCTGGGCCGGCGAGGGCTGGCCTCACCTGTCGCTGGCCATGGGCAAGGCCGCCCTCGCCCAGCCCTTCCCGGGCTTCGCCGGTGGCCGACCGGCCACCGGCAACCTGCCGGCGAGGGGAGAAAAGAAAAAAAAGAAAAGAAAAGAAAAGAAAAAGGAAAGAAGAAAAAAAAAGGAAAAAAAATATTTAAAATTAAAAATGCTGACTGTACACGCTAAAAAAAATTATTTAAAATTAAAAATTGCTGGCTGTACACGCTGACTCAGCTTCCGGCGAGCCACGTCGGCGTAAAAAATTAATAAAAAATGCCACGTCGGATTTCCGGCCAAATTGGCACTAAAGTGATCTTTTTTTCTCCGACTTGGCACCAAAGTGATCCGAAAAAAAGTTATGGCACCAAAGTGATCGCCGTACACAAGTTATGGCACTTGTGGTGTACTTTTGCCCAAACCAAAGATATCATAGATATGGGAACTTGGATATGCTCTAATACTCTTTTGGTACCTTTTATCTTTATTTTTAAAAATACATTTGCAAGCAGTCTTGGTGAATTTTAAGCTTAAACCATTAAGCTACGAGAGATGATCATGCGAGAATGCAATCAAATAATGTAACACTCAATAAATCAAAGTGATAAATAAATTGCTGGAAAATAGGCAAAAACCTCAGTACATTAAGTAAAGCATGACTTCATTATGGTAATGCCCCAAGTGTTCAGCAAGACTGTTAATTTAAAATTGCATGCATGTTTTTAACATGGTTTCTAAATGCAATGACATTTAATTCTTTTGGGGTTTTTATTTTTTTTATAAAAGTAAAAAGTGTCAAAAAAAGTCCTAAACCTTTGGCATTGGTGCCAATTCAGTCCTAACCCTTTTTTTTGTGCCAATTCAGTCCTAAACCTTTTGCATTTGTGCCAATTTAGTCCTAAATTGATGCCAATTTAATCCTAAACATTTTGCATTGGTGCCAATTCAATCATAAACCTTGTTTTTGTGCCAACTCAGTCTTTCCGGCCAATTTTGGCTGGATTTTGCTGACATAGACGCTGGCCTGCCGACGGTCGGTCACTGGCGCTGATGTAGACAACTTTAATAATATTTTAATATTTTTTTTGAATATTTTTTTTCCCCTCCCCTCCCTCCTTCCTCCAGCCGGTCGCTGAACCAGCGACCGGCTAGAGGCCAGAGGCCGGCACCGGCAAGGCTCGCCCTCGCCCACGACAGCAAAGGCGAGCCTCGCCAAGCGACCGGCGAGGCTCACCTTCGCCGTCGCTAGCGAGGGCGAACCTTGCCAGCGGCTGGGCGAGGCCTAACCTCGCCAGATCCGACGAGTTTGAGTCGTCAGATCTGGCGAGGTTGACCCAACCTTGCCGGCCTCTGGCCTTTAGCCGGTCACCGGAGGAGGGAGGGGAGGGGAAAAAAGAAAAGAAAAGAAAAAAACAAAAAAAAGAAATAAATATTCAATAAAATATTAAAATATTATTAAAGTTATCCATGCCGGTGACCGGCCGTTGGCCGGTCGATGTCCACGTCAACAAAATCTGGCCAAAATTGGCGGGAAGGACTGAATTGACACAAAAACAAAAGATTTAGGATTGAATTGGCACAAATACAAAAGGTTTAGGACTGAATTGACATCATAAAAATGTTTAGGACTGAATTGGCACCAATGCAAAAGGTTTAGGACTGAATTGGCACTAATGCAAAAGGTTTATGACTGAATTGGCACAAAAAAAAGGTTTATGACTAAATTGACATCAATGCAAAAGGTTTAGGACTTTTTTGACACTTTTCCCAAACCATGTGCTATGCATGTGATGCAATTTTAATCTAAGTTATGTCTAAGTAATTCTAACTTAAACTAATGACACGTGACATGAATTATTTAATTAAATGTAAACTAATTCTGACATTATGAACTAATTTAATATGCAATTAGATTTATATGAACCTAGGCATATATTCACTAAATGACATGGATACTATGACGTGGATATGATGACGACGAGTGATTTATGAAACTAATTCTATATGCATGTTATTTTTTATAAATTTTCTTTTAAAGCTAAAATGGGAAACTACTTACAGTATATAATGACCTAACTTAAATTAGGTAATTTACTAAATTACTACATTGCTCCTAAAATAGGAAATTCTTAATTAGGAAACTAATCTATCGTAAATAATGCAATGCAACTTTTTTTTGTATTTTTATAATAAAAATATTTCCTAAATTAATGACATGCAATATATAAACCCACATAATTAAATATTCACCACATCCAAAATAGGAAACAAAGGTAATTGGATCCAATCTTAGGCCTTAAGATCAAAAACTCAATTATATGCAACGAGGAAATTTCCTATTTGGGATACACCTAAGATCATATGCCATATCAAGGTTAGAATAAAGTAACTCTAATTTAGGCAAATCGCACATTTAAATTATGCGAGTTTAAGAATTACCTAAATTTTAGTATACCGAACCGAAATGAACAATAGCAAGGGGTGTTCACCGTCGACGAGTGGTGAAACGAGCAGCGACAGTGAGGCTACGGCGGGTGTGATAGGAGAACAACGAATTAAAGCGGAGGGACGCTTTGAGCCGTGAAGGAGGACTCCTCGAAGTGCTGCTCGTGTAGGACCTTCAAGGAGGAGTACGGGGGCAACCGCTAATGGTGGATGGAACGCCCCGGATGAAGGACGTCAAGAGAGATAATTCGTATAAGTGCTGGACCCGCGCCTCCTTTCTTGCTCAGTCTCTCGCCTCAATCTTCAGAGAGCAAAACCGTGTGTAAATTGGTCAAAAATGAATATGGGTGCTTGTGCTGTTATATTTGTAATGTGATCCCACATTTAGGTTTGACCCACGTTTTCTCTTTTGAGTGACGGTTATCCACTGTCGGTTTTTTCCACGCTTCGTACCCC